TTAGACCCCCCCACGATGGCCGCAAAAGGGCGCTTGGGCTGGGAAACCGCTCCGTCGAGGTAGTCCAGCTCCTTTTGCAGGAGGAAACCCGCCACGGCCGGTTTCAAGAATTTGGCCACGCCCTCCGTGGAACCATGGGCTCGGTGGGCCGTCCCAAAGGCATCATTCACGTACAAATCGGCGTTTGCCGCCAATTTCTCGGCAAATTCCGCCACGTTCTTTTCTTCCTCCGGGTAGAACCGCACATTCTCCAACAGGGCCACGTCCCCCTCCTTGAGGCCGGCCACAGCCGTGGACACAGCCTCTCCAATGCAGTCCTCCACGAAGGCGACTTTCTTGCCCAGCAATTCCGTCAGTCGGTCTGCCACGGGGGAAAGGGAGAACTTGTCCTCCTTGCCTTTGGGCCGGCCCAAGTGGGACGTGAGGAGGACCTTGGCGCCCTTGGAAGCCAGGTACTCAATGGTGGGCACCGAGGCCCGAATGCGGGTGTCATCCGTGATGGTCTTTCCGTCCAGGGGGACGTTCAAGTCACAACGGACAAAGACGCGCTTTCCCTTGAGGTCGGCGTCCGCGAGGCTGCCCACGCTCTTCTTGGCCATTGTCATCACGCCGCGACGGCTCGTGGAAGGGCAGACCGGCTCGGCTACGGCAGCAGAGCCTGTCATAGCACCCGCAGAGGGAGCCTTGAAGAAGGAGGGAGCGACAAAGGCTGTGTGCAGGATGTGTTGTAGGGCGAAAAGATGAGAAGATGTAGAGGTTGATCCTCTTGGCAATGGTCGCGGAAATGGATTGGCTTTTCTGGTTCGTGTGCGATCGTTGTTCCAACTGATCCAAAAAACACTCCACACTACGGGCTCTCCACGTCCTGTGAGGGCTTACCTTGTGCAGAAGCCACGCTCAAGAGAGTGACAAGGCCGGTGATCTTCATCTTCTTCGGAACTGTGGTCATAGGTATGGAATGGAAGGTGGTGAATGTCAGGATGAACAACAGGAGAAGGATCTGGATAAGCGTGGGCGGTGCGCCGATCATTTTGTGGTCGAGGGGGGAGGCGGAAAGATCTGAGCCGTTCCTAGTTCAACGAGGTCTATATCTGTTCAGTTACAGATCCGAACGCATGCCCTAGAAGAAACAACAACCCACATGACACAACGCGTCCAAAAAGAAGATGCGTGGAGGCTCGCCACGCCACATGCTGGGCGCTGACTGTGGTGATCTCAGGAGTTGCAGTTATGTTGCCAGGGGGAGGATGAG